TATATCGATCGCTAACAATATCAAGAATGGGATGTAATATCGTGAACGTTTCTCGTTAACTCCGGCTAGTAAAGCTTGAGAAAAAATACTGAGGATGGCATCATTTAGAAACAGTACAGTAACAGGAGGATTGAAGTTGTTTTCATAAAAATCATTACAGATAGCTAACGTATCATTTTTTGGTTACAAAGTTATAGTCTCCATTGAATTTAACAGATTGCTATTGGAACCGAGCATACTTGCTTTGATAGTTGTGTATGCGATTGAGAACCATGCAAGCATGCGTGTCGTAACATGAACTGACACACCGAAAATAGTTCCCTTCATCACAATTACTTTTCGCACTATAATACATGATAGTTGTCAGAGGTAACGAAATGTTCATGAAACATGAATAATGGAAGAAGCGAAAACGTAGGTTTCAGAGTAAACCTGTCAATGTCAATCATACTTCTTGTTCAAGTCGTAGTGAGTTGGAAGTGTTTTAAAGCCTTCGTTCGTTTTGATTTACTTCATAAGTGATAGAAGCGATTCTGTCTTTCACCTTTTTCCAGTTGCCGTCAGAGAGCTCCAAATTATCAGACCTTTCGGATATTAATTCTTAAGACGTTGAATGATAAAAGTTCTCACAACGAATTTTTAGAAATTGTGAACTAATGTTGATAAACATTTAGAAACATCTCCTCTTACTTTTCTCTTTCTGCCTGTTTTCTATCTGTTCTCCATTTTCCCTATTCGCTTAGCGGCCTTTTCTCTCTCAAAAAACAGTTAAAAAAAGGTTTGATTTATTACATTCGGGAAAAGACATCTGTCAGTTAGTTTCATACTGATCACTCTGTTCATAAACTTCATTGTTCGAACTTTTCGAACACATTGACTGCGAAACATCAAATGTACTTGATGAAAATGTTCGTTATTCTTCTTATGATCGGGCTGGCTAGCTGTATCAAGGAAAATCATAATCTGGAAGAGCAAAACGCTAACCTGTCATCAAAAGTTTGTAACTCAGTTTTAAGAGCTTTCAAGATTTTTATATGTTAGTTCGGAAACATTTTTGACCCAAATGGAGGAAAACCGTGGTATCAACAGGTTGGTAACTCAGTTGGCAGTTGTTAAGACTGATTTGTTTCAGTTGAGAGAGATATCTGTCTCTATTGGCGGCGAAGCTGTGTACCGAAAGGTTTGTGACCAAACTGAGGGTTTGCAAGATTGTTTTGTTTCAGCTGTGTAGAGAATCTGATCCTGAAAAAAAAGAAATGCTGTACGGAGAAGTATGTATTCAATTGATAGTTATTAAGGTTGTATTGTTTCAGTTGAGAAAGATAACTGATATCGAAGAACAAAGAGAGCTGTTCGAAAAGGTTTGTAAACCAACTGACAGTTCTCAAGATAGTATTGTTTCAGTTGTATTGTATTTGTGATACCAATACAAGAAAGCGGTTTGAAAAAACGGTATACATCTCATTTGATAATTCTAGAAATTATTGTTTCCTTCAGATGCTGAAAATATCTGATCCCGAGAAAAAAAGAGAAATGTTCGAAAAGGTTTGTAACCCAACTGGCTGCTTTCGAGATTGTTTTTTCCAGCTATACATTCAATGTTCTCAGACCAAAAATCTATTCATTTCGAAGTTTAATTAAAGACAAAAGACATTTTTGTTTCAGTTATTTTCTCTTTTCGGAATCCTAAGAC